CTCGAGCGAGTCAAGCATGGCATGCCCATTCCCACCCGCCCTCCCACAACATAAGAAACAGTGATGGCACAACTGGGGGTTGCGCGGGCATTTCACTGCGAGTGGAGGATACCCCAGGACACCGCATTGACGTCCGCGCGGGATGTGCGCCGCGTCCCATTCCCGCCACGAATTTCGCAACGTCGACGACAAGACTGGCCATGTTGAAAGGAACAACGGACACGTTCCGCCCTCCCACAACATAAGAAACAATGCTGGCGCAACTGGGTGCTGGCGCGTAGTGGTAGTAGTAGTAGTAGTAGTAGTAGTAGTAGTAGTAGTAGTAGTAGTAGTAGTAGTAGTAGTAGTAGTAGTAGTAGTAGTAGTAGTAGTAGTAGTAGTAGTAGTAGTAGTAGTAGTAGTAGTAGTAGTAGTAGTAGTAGTAGTCGTAGTAGTAGTAGTAGTAGTAGTAGTAGTAGTAGTAGTAGTAGTAGTAGTTAGTGTAGTGTAGTGTCGTAGTCGTAGTAGTAGTAGTAGTAGTAGTAGTAGTAGTAGTAGTAGTAGTAGCAGTAGTGTAGTAAGGTAGTAGTAGGTAGTATAGTAGTAGTAGCAGTAGTAGTAGTAGTAGTAGTAGTAGTAGTAGTAGTAGTAGTAGTAGTAGTAGTAGTAGTAGTAGTAGTAGTAGTAGTAGTAGTAGTAGTAGTAGTAGTAGTAGTAGTAAGTAGTAAGTAGTAGTAGTAGTAGTAGTATAGTAGTAGTAGTAGTAGTAGTAGTAGTAGTAGTAGTAGTAGTAGTAGTAGTAGTAGTAGTAGTAGTAGTAGTAGTAGTAGTAGTAGTAGTAGTAGTAGTAGTAGTAGTAGTAGTAGTAGTAGTAGTAGTAGTAGTAGTAGTAGCAGTAGCAGTAGTAGTAGTAGTAGTAGTAGTAGTAGTAGTAGTAGTAGTAGTAGTAGTAGTAGTAGTAGTAGTAGTAGTAGTAGTAGTAGTAGTAGTAGTAGTAGTAGTAGTAGTAGTAGTAGTAGTAGTAGTAGTAGTAGTAGTAGTAGTAGTAGTAGTAGTAGTAGTAGTAGTAGTAGTAGTAGTAGTAGTAGCCCTGAGTCGCCGAAAGATCGTTCCAAGACGCCCAAGATGGCCTCCAGACGGCCGCAGCGCCAAGAAACCGCGGGGAGACTCAGGAGGCCCTCCAAGAGCCTGAGCGAGCAAAAACCTCCCAGGCATTCGTCACCCCAGGGCCTCCTGGAACGCCCCGGCGCCCAATGAATTGGCGAGCTAAACGCGTGCGCCGAGCCAAAGTGGGAGCGCAACTTTGAGAAAATTTCGCTCGGCGCCCAAGCGAGAAGGTCATTTCATTCACTTCGAGCGGGGGGGTGGTGCCGCGCCCAATTCTTGCCATGCACTTTGCTTGGTGGACGACAAGAACAGCTATGTGGGCAAGCGAATATCAGCATGGCATTGCTTCTGACAAGTAATGTGGCCCCTCCCGCCTTGGGGTTTCCCCAGAAGTCCGCGCGCGATGTGCGCCGCGCCCCATTCCTGCCACGCGTTTCGCATCGTCGACGACAAGACAGGCCATGATGAAAGGAAAAACTGCAACTCTGTATTGTTTTTTACAGTCAGGATGGGAGGGCCCGCAGCCCGCATGGACGTCCGCGCGCGATGCGCGCCGCGTCCCATTCCTGCCACATATTTCGCACCGTCGGCGACAAGGCAGGCCATGCTGAGAGGAAACAACGGAGACTTTGTATCGGTTTTTTACAGTCAGGATGGGCGGGCCCGGATTGACGGCCGCGCGCGATGTGCGCCGCGTCCCATATGTGCGCCGCGTCCCACTGCTGCAACATATTTCGCACCGTCGGCGACAAGGCAGGCCATGCTGAGATGAAAAAACGAAGACTTTGTATCAGGATGGGCGGGCCCAGTTTGACTGCCGCGCGCGATGTGCGCCGCGTCCCATTCCTGCCACGCTTTTCGCATCGTCGACGACAAGAAAGACGATGTTGAGAAGAAAAACGGCCACTTTGTATTGATTGTTTACAGTCCGGATGGGAGGTCCCGGATTGGGTCGCTATCGGTCGGAATGCGAGGTAGGTGGGGGTATATTCTAATAAGGAACAAGGATGAGCCTTGGGACAAACCCGAAAACACGGGCGAGCAAATAGCAGAAGGGGCCATGTTCGAAAATTCGCGAGCGTTTCCTGCTTCAGAACGAAGGAGACTTGACTTGGTATGTACATGCGGAGTCCCGTCGCCCCCCCCCTCCCCCTACCCCCCCGTCGCCACCCCCCGCGGCCCCCAAGGAGACCATTTTTGAAATGTGCAGCGCATCCTTTTTCAAAACCAAGCCCGGTCCCCAGGAAACCATGCTTGAAAATTGCGAGCGCTTCCTGCTTGAAAACATAAAGAAAAACTTTGGTCTCAGCGGTGCCCCGCGTCACTCGTTCATCCCCCCGATCCTTTGCCCCGCCAGCCCTGCACATCACGCCCCCAACCCCCGCAAAACCATTTCGAAAAATTGCGAGCGTTTCTTGCTTCATGAACACGAAGAAAATACGTGATTATAGCGAGGTCCCCCGCCTTTCCTCTGCCCTCGCGATCTCTTGGCCAGTAAACCTCCGCAAAACGCCTCCCAAACCGAGAACACTTGGAAAAAAACCAATGCGAGCATTTCATGGTTCAGAATAATAAGAAAATCTTCGGCATTGGCGATGCCCCCCGTCGAACCCCTCTCTTCCCGACCCCTCGCCCCCCAGCCTCCGCAAAACCAATCTCGAAAATGCGTGAAAGCTTCCCTTTTTCTAAATGGGCAAGGGAAAATGCTGGCTGACGTAATGCTACAAAACAACATTACGTCGACCAGGCGTGCCTTGATCAGTGAGCTGGGACACAGCACCGCCGCACATCACAAGACGCTTGCGAAGACCGTCCAGCCGCGGCGACGAGGCTTGTTTCGAGAGCAACGAAACCATAGAATTATGTCTGTTTGACTGTGACACGAATGCGCCCGACCCCGTTCCTGCCTCATCCCGTTGCTTATCCGTCCCTTCCTCCTCCTCCTCATCATCACCATCATCATCATCCTCCTCTTACTCGCCCTCCTCCTCCTCCTCCTCCTCATCGTCGTCGTGATCATCGTCATCACCATCACCATCACCATCATCGTCGTCGCCATCATCCTCCATATTATTCCTCCTGCTGCTTCACCGCATCCTTTTAACCGCTGCCAACATGCTCTGCTGTAGGGTAGTCCAGAACCAAGAAAACGTAAGACCCCGACCTGCCCCAAGTGGAGGTTCGCCATCCTCTTTTTGTTGCTGCATCCTTCATTCATTGGGCCAACGCAGTATGCATGTGAACAAATCCCACCAACCCTCTGGGCGCAGGTGGTCTAGAGCGTTGTCTATTTTGCCCTCCTTCCTCCCTTTAGTCGAAGAGGTTCCCCTCCCCCCCTTCCAGGGTCTGGGCGGTGGCGCGCGAGGTTTGAGAGCGTCCTTTTTGGCCCAATATTGCTCCAAGAGGGCAACAGAGAGCCCAAGATGGCCTCCACAATGGCCCACGATTCTTCAAAACGTCTCAAGATAGCCTCCCACATGCCTCCAAAAGGCTGCAAGACGGCCCTGAGACGGTTCCCACCCCCAAGAGTCCGGAAAAATCACCAAAAACCTGAATAATAAAGTTGTTTTGCCTTGTCCCCTTTTCGCTTCCGATAAGCTGTTGACCTCAAGATGGCCCCAAGATGGCCCAAAAGAGTCTCAAGAGGGGCCCGCGAGGGCTCCAAGACGGACCTCAGAGCGCCTAAGAGGGGCCTAAGGGCGGCCCAAGGTGGCCCCAAGACGCCCTTTTGTGGTCGCCCATTCGTCTCCTAGGGGGGGGGCTGAATATCCGACCCCCCATTATTTGAGCCATGGTGCCCAAGACGGCCCCAAGAGGCCTCAAAGACCTCCCCAAAGAGCCCCAAGAGGGCCCTAAGAACGCCCGAAGAGAGCCCAAGAGGGCCCAAGAGGCTCCGCGAGGACCCTAAGAGAGCCCGGAACCCTCGGGTTCCGGAGCCCGGAACCCTAGGGTTCCGGGTTTTCTCCTCCCGGGACCTTGAGGAGTTTTGAAAAACCCGGAACCCTCGGGTTCCGGGTTTCCACCCCTGGAATTCCGGGTTTTGCGGGGCACTCGTGGCCGTTTTGAGGCCCTCGACGCCCCCCTCGGCAGAATTTCTGGAGCAAAGTACCTCCCCGGCCTGCCCGGCTGGCCCTGGTAGACCCCCCCTCCAAATCGACTTGACCAGGCTTCTGGGGGAAGGGGTTTGGGGAGGGTGAAGCATCTCACACGCCGATGAACCCAAAGGGGTCGGCGGATTCTGAATGCGCTGTTCTTCCGTCTTCCTGGCGTCCGACCGCCCAGGAGGCCCGAATATTTGGTCAAAACTACCCGAAAGGGCTTCCAGGCAGTCCAAGAGAGCCCCAAGACGGCCTAACAGGGCCCCAAGATGGCGCGAAGAAAGGCCGATGACGGCGCACGATAGCCCCTAGACGCCCCCCCGAAGCATTCCAAATCGTGACCCGGCCGTTCAGGGAGATCGCGGTTGGAAGCAGGATAGCCCGAGGAAGCCCCCAGAGGCCCCCACAAGGCGCCCAGGAGGCTTCAGAAGGCCCCCACGAAGCCCTTTCGCGAGGCCCCCAAGAAGCTCTCCAAGTAGGAGCCTTCGCAAAAAAAAGCTGAGGATAGTTAATGAGGAAGAGTTCGCGGGGTGGGGCGAGAATGAGGAGTAATAATAATAAGAAGAAGACTAACAATAATCATTATTAGAATAGGAAACATGAGGGACATATCGTGAATAACATGATTAGCACGATAATGCCGGAAAAAACATCAAGGAGTTATCGCTAAGTCTTGTGTGTGTGACCTTCTGCCCTTCGCCTGCCAAACTTCAAGGACCATGGTGCGTGGCGCGAAGCGCCCATGCAGTCTTGTGTATCCTGCTCGTCCTTACCGTTCTCTTTCGTAGTTGCAGTGGGTAGCTTGTCCGGTTGTTACTCGAGCCGTTTTGCTTCAAGGTTAGACATATTTCTACCCTCGGCTTGCGTGCTACCTGGAAGCCATGCCGGCCACGATGGGGATCAACGGTTTCGGCCGCATCGGCCGCCTGGTCTGCCGCGCAGCGCTCGGCAACCCGGAGGTGCAGCTGAAGGCCATCAACGACCCTTTCATGGACCTCGAGTACATGGTCTACATGCTCAAGTACGACTCCGTGCACAAGCGCTACCCGGGCACCATCGCCACGAAGGTGGCCGACGGCAAGGAGTTCCTGGTCGTCGACGGCAAGGACATCGCGGTGTTCCACGAGAAGGACCCAGCGTCTATCCCGTGGGGCGCGGCGGGCGCCTCCTACATCTGCGAGTCCACCGGCGTGTTCACGGCCAAGGAGAAGGCCGAGCTGCACATCGGCGGCGGTGCCAAGAAGGTCATCATCTCTGCCCCTCCCAAGGACTCCGTCCCGATCTACGTCGTCGGCGTGAACCACAGCGAGTACAAGGCATCGGACACCGTGGTGTCGAACGCGTCCTGCACCACGAACTGTCTGGCCCCGTTGACCAAGGTCATCCACGAGAAGTTCGGCATCGTGGAGGGTCTCATGACCACGGTGCATGCCATGACGGCCACACAGCTCACGGTGGACGGCCCATCCCGCGGCGGCAAGGACTGGCGCGGCGGCCGCTGTGCCTCGCAGAACATCATCCCGTCATCCACGGGTGCCGCCAAGGCTGTGGGCAAGTGCCTCCCCGCTGTGAACGGCAAGCTCACGGGCATGGCCTTCCGCGTGCCCACGCCAGATGTGTCGGTTGTGGATTTGACGTGCCGCCTAGAGAAGGGCGCGAAGTACGACGAGATCGTTGCAGCTGTGAAGGAGGCGGCCGCGGGTCCGATGAAGGGCGTCCTGGACTGGACTGATGAGGAGGTGTCGGGGGACGCTAAATGATCATTTGCACTGGTCGCTGCCGAGCCGAACCTGGGCCCTGGATCAGTGCGTGCGCCTTCCTGACAAGGCCTGTGAAATCCGCACCCATCGATCTTGTGCCCAGGGTTGGCTTGGCCAGTGCCGGTGTCATTGCGTGGCTGTCGGCGCCGTGCCGAGGTGGTTTCCACGGACTTCGTGAGCTGCAAGTCGTCCTCCATCTTCGACGTCAACGCTGGCATCTCCCTGAACGACACCTTCGTGAAGCTGGTGTCTTGGTACGACAACGAATGGGGCTACTCCAACCGCCTCGTAGACTTGTGCTGCCACATGTCCAAGGTTGACGGTGCCTGATCCGTTCCTAGGTTGTTGGGAGCGCGTTGCGCCGTGAGTTTTAGATAAGGCGCCTGGGTTGTTCAAAGTCTCCCGGCAGTCCAGCATCTAGTTTTGCAGAACGCGTGAGATCATATTGAGATCAGATCTCCGCTTGAAAATCTGTAGAATTGCCCAGGGGCGAACCGCTGCATCGATGATTTGCGGGGCAGACAACAATTTTCACAGGCGCGTCGCAGTCGAAAAGTGCTCCTCGTCTCGGAGGTTCGCACTGGCCGCGGCATTGACGGGTGGTGGTGTTCAATTCGTTGTAATATTATGTCGTCCGGGTCCCCCATTTGTAAAGTTACAGAAATTGCAGCGTCTCGTGGACAACATACACTTGGTATAATGCATTAATCCTTGGATGTTGGCTTGTGGGCCGACATCTGCGGTAGCGTCGAGGGGATGCAGGTAAGGACATGAGATGCTGTGACACTGTGCAGCAGGTAAGGTAGGAGACTGCAAAAAGCGGTACGGGTATTGCATGGTGCGTAAGCTTGTTGCACGGTTCGATCCCGTGGAGGCAGAACAGGAAGAGCCCAACGTGGTATAATAACACCGCCACTAGAAGCGTACCGCTTGGTAGGCGAGCATCGTGCGCAGGCATTTGTATACACTTTCTTGTATTTGTGTCAGCTGTGATAGCCAAGTAGCGCACCATTATTGAACATATATCGTATGGAACGGTATCGCTGTGCACTGTATGTACGGTTGGCGTCTTCAGTTGCTCTGGCGCGGGCGGCAAAGCTTAGCTGCTCTCGTTTCGATATATGGCGATGCGGTGGCGCTGTGTAAAATAAGCTGTATCTATATGTATGTATGTATGTATGTATGTATGTATGTATGTATGTATGTATGTATGTGTGTGTATGTATATATGTATGTATGTATGTATGTATGTATGTATGTATGTATGTATGTATGTATGTATGTATGTATGTATGTATGTATGTATGTATGTATGTATATATGTACGTATGCATGCATGCATGCATGCATGCATGCATGCATGTATGTATGTATGTATGTATGTATGTGTATGTATGTATGTATGTATGTATGTATGTATGGATGCATGCATGCATGCATGCACGCATGCATGCATGTATGTATGTATGTATGTATGTATGCATGCATGCATGCATGTATGTATGTATGTATGTATGTATGTATGTGTGTGTATGTATGTATGTATGCACGTACGTATGTATGTATGTATGCATGCATGTATACATATATACATATATATATATATGTAGAACTCGTGTGGGTGGCTGTGGGTGTACGAATTATGAAGAAGCCCAGGAGCTTCAATTTTACAGCATCACGTATCCTGTCACCACAGTTGGTTTTCTGAAGGTGCCATATATATATATGTGTTTGCTACAGTGGACGTCTTCATGTAAAGCGGCATTGTGCAAGTGTGCGTCGTAGTAGCTGGTAGTCGAGTCTCTGCTCCCCCGTCGAGGAATATCCCCAGTAAGTTTCGCCTGTGATATGGCCGGTACGTCTGTTCCTTCTTCGTCGCGCAGGCGTGGAGCCAGCGCGGCATCCGCCGCATACGACTTGAAAGCCCAGGCTGGCCTATCATAGTGAAGTTGCCCAGTCATGCCTTCACCTATTCCTCATTGTCCCACCCTCCCCGCACTATCTCCCTCAGCATCCTGCTCCTCCCCATCCCCCTCCTCCTCAGCTTCCCTTTTCTCCTTCCTCTCCTCCTCATCCTCCTCGTCGCCCTCCTCCTCCTCTTTCTCATCTTCTTTCTCCCCGTCCCTATCCTCCTCCTCGTTCTTCCCCTCCTCTGGTGCCATGGAGGGACCGCACTCTCTTCGCGGGATGGAAGCCTCTTCAGAGTAATCCACTTTGCCTTGCCTTGCCTTGTCTTACCTCCTCCTCCTTTTCCTCCTCCTCCTCCTCCTCCTCCTCCTCCTCCTCCTCATCCTCCCCTCTCTCTCTCTTTCTCCCCCTGTTTTTTTTCCCGGAAAGGGCTCGAGCCCAGGGTTCTCTTTTAGTAGGTTTACCCCCGGTTTTGACGGCTGTAGGGCCGGCGAAATTATTCTGCGATAAATTACGTGCGGGAGTAGGGCCGGCGAATTAAATTTTGAGGATGTCTCGAACGAAACGCTTGATTTTCAGAATTTGTTGAGGATGTCTCGAGCGAAACGCTTGTTTTGTATTATATATTGTGCTCTCCTGGGGACCTGAATTCAGATGATCTCTCAGGTGAAATGCTTGTTTTCACGTGCCCAGGTTTTGAGGATGTTTCGAGCGAGACGCTTAGTTTCACGCCTCCAGGTTGCCCAGACGGGTGTCTAGCATGAGGATTTGTTGAGGATGTCTCGAACCAGAGGCTTGTTTTCACGTGTCCAAGTTGCCCAGGCGGATGTCTAGCATGAGGCGGTGTCGAGGAAGTCTCGATCGAGACGCTTGTTTGCGCGTGTCCAGGTTGTCCAGGCGGATGTCTAGCATGAGGATGTGCTGAGAACGTCTTGAGCGAAACTCGTGTTTTCACGTGTCCAGGTCGCCCAGGCACAGCACAGCCCTCGGCACGGTACATCAATATCGATACCCTTAGCATTGCAGCCTGGCACGTTGCCTGGCACGTTCCGCGGAGCGTCCCGTGGCGAGTCCCCCTGGCACGTCGCGCGGTGCACGTCCATTGGCTCGTTCCGTAGCGCGTCCCCTTGGCACGTCCCGCGGTGCGTGCCCATGGCACGTCCCTTGGCACGTCGCCTGGCGCGTCCCTTGGGACGTTCCGCGGCGCGTCCTCCTGGCATGTCCCCCTGTCCATTAGCTCTGGGGCAGCTACTATGTGCTGAGGCCGCTCGAGCTTAAGATCTAGGTCGGTTCGGTCAGGACTCGTGTGCAAAGGAGGACTCGATCCACAACGCTATAGAGCACAATCGCGGCATGGCACGTCGCAGTTCAGCACAGCGCAGCACAGCACAGCCCACGGCACGGTACATCAAGATCGATACACTCAGCATTGCAACTTCGGCACGTTCCGTGGCGCGTCCCGTGGCGAGTCCCCCTGGCACGTCGCGCGGCGCGTCTCCTGGCACGTCCATTGGCACGTCCATTGGCACGTTCCGTAGCGCGTCCCCTCGGCACGTCCCGCGGTGCGTCTTCGTGGCACGTCCCTTGGCACGTCGCCTGGCGCGTCCCTTGGGACGTTCCGCGGCGCGTCCTCCTGGCATGTTCCCCTGTCAGTTAGCTCCGAGGCAGCTACTATGTGCTGAGGCAGCTCGAGCTTAAGATCCAGATCAGTTCGGTCAGGATTCGGATGCAAAGGAGGACTCGATCCACAACGCTATAGAGCACAATCGCGGCATGGCACATCGCAGTTCAGCACAGCGCAGCACAGCACAGCTCTCGGCACGGTACATCAAAATCGATACATTAAGCATTGCATTTGCCCGTCGCCCAATCAGGTGTCTTTCAAACGTTGCCATGCCTTACATTTCTATATTCCTTTCCGGGTTCGTGGGTCGATCATGTTTTTTTTTTTCTCTCTCTCTCTCTATCTCTCTCTCTCTCTCTCTCTCTCTCTTTTTCCCGGAAAGGGCGGGGGCCCAGGGTTCTCTTTTAGAGGTTTACCCCCGGAATCGACTTGAAGGAGGCCGGCGGAATTATTTTGCGATAAATGACGAGTTTGAAGGATGCCGGCGGAATTATGTTTGAGAATGTCTCGAGCAAAACGCTTATTTTCAGAATTTGTTGAGGATGTCTCGAGCGAAATGCTTGTTTTGCGTTATAAGTTGTCCTCTCCTCGGAACCAAAATTCAGAGGATCTCTCAAGTGAAATGATTGTTTTCACGTGCCCAGGTCTTGAGGATGTCTCGAGCGAGATGCTCGGTTTCACGCCTCCAGGTTGCCCAGGCAGAGGTCTAGCCCCAGGATTTGTTGAGGATGTCTCGAGGCAGACGCTTTGTTTCACGCGTCCTCGTCGCCAAGGCGGATGTCTAGCATGAGGATGTGTTGAGGAACTCTTGATCGAGATGCTTGTTTGGACGTGTCCAGGTTGCCCAGGCGGATGCCTAGCATGAGGATGTGTTGAGATTGTCTCGAGAGATACGCTTGTTTTCACGTGTCCAGGTCGCCCATGCAGATGTCTAACATGAAGATGTTTTGAGGATGTCTCGAGCGAGACGTTTGCTTTCACGTGTACAAGTCGCCTAGGTGGATGTCTAGAATGAGGAGGTGTTGAAACCGTCTCGAGCGAAACGCTCGTTTTCACGTGCCCAGGTCACCCAGGCGGACGTCTCACATGAAGATGTGTTGAGGATGTCTCGAGAGAACCACTTGTTTTCACGTGTCCAGTTCGCCCTCCGTAGCCATTTTGGCTCAAGAGTGTTTCTCTCAGACTTGTCCGTGGGAGGCGCGGCCCACGGTATCTCACGTGCGCCTCTCACGGGCGTAGCCGCTATCTCATATCTAACGACTGTACTGAGGCCATCGCCTCTCGACTTTTCAGTCACGTCTCGTTTCCCGTGCTTCCTGTACCCGCAGTCATGGCTTCCAACTCTGTTGCTGCTTCTCAACCTGCTGGTTCTCAAAGGGTTGCCCGTCGCAAGTCCAGACGCCCGCAACGGGCCACTCCCGCAGCCAGCGAGAGGTCTCACACGGATACCCCTGAGGGCAAGCGCACCAAGACCCTTGACGAGGACGGCTGTGACGGCGACGTGCTGGTGGATGGTCTTGGGGCCGCAGGTCTCATTTATCCTCTGCAGGCCCGCGACCCGTGGGATGCCGCGAACAAACCTGGGGAGTCCGACAACAACGTTGGTGGCACAGCTACTCCAGTCGCTCCCGACCCCAACGTTTTCGTGTGCAGATTCGAGATGGAAGCTCTGGTGGCGGTTCTTAAGCTCGATTTCCTGTCCTCTGTCATCAACACCTCGTCCGCGCTGGCGACCCAGCTGGCGGACAAAACGGCTTCTTGTCTGCGCAAGTTTGCGGCGCAGCAGGAGGCCAAGCATGAGGAGACTGCTCTTCGTCTTCGGGAGCTCAACCAGAGGCAAACGTCTCTGGAGCAGGCTCATAGCAAAATGGCTGCTGAAGTGGATCGTCTCAAGCACACTCTCCACCTCTGTGAGCAGGCCGCTCCGCAGTCGGACTATGCCGACGTCGCGGGCTTCGCGCGGGAGCCCAGTCGCACCTGCTTCGTGGCCTCCGCGAAGGCTGCGGTCTCTTCTTCCAGTGTCAAAGAGGCTGTTCTTCCATGGCTGGAGGCCGCTGGCTTCAAGGATGACCAGTGGCAGGTCGTGGGTGACTCTCCCTCTCGGCGATTTGTGGTCGCTTTCAAAGGCGCGCCTGGGCTGGCTTCGACGCACGCCGTCCACGCGCATAAAGGCCCTCAAGTTGCCCGACGGTGGAGGTTGGCGCAAATTCGAGACTCGCGATGCCGAGCCCCAGGTGCAGGAGCTCTTCATCAGTCTTGTCAAGAATGGGCAGCAGATCCGCCGCGAGGTCCAGTGCAAAAAGCTTTTCGAGCTAATCAAGAGCGCCAACCTCCCAGGACGATGGCGGGCTAACCGTTCCCAGGGGTCTGTGTTTCGAGCCTCGACCCCTGCGGTCCGCGTCATCGTCCCAGATGATCCCACGCAGGCGTCTTCTTTGGAGTGGAATTACCGTCTTGTCAATGATGCTGGTTTGGGCAAGGATGCCATGGTTTCTGCCTTCAACAACCTATTCGGGGAAGCCGAGAAAGTTGCATGGAGTCTTTAGTCGCCGCTTTGCCCCGTGGAAGGCGCCTAGTGAGCTGAAGGCTCCGCTGTCGTTTGCGACGTGGAACGCTCGAGCACTGTTGCACCACGACCTGCGCATACGGCAGCACAAAATGAAGTACTTGTCTCAGTTTCTTTCGAAGGGAACGATCCTGGCGCTGCAAGAGGTCCACGCTACGGAGTTGGAGCTTCAGCAGGACTTGTTCAAGCTCCACATCCCACACCTGGCTTTCTCTTCTTTCGGTGCGCAGCGAAACACTGGTGGGGTGGCTATTATCACACCATGTTCCCAGAGTGGTGTTCATCAGCGGGCAAAGTTCTGGCACGAGGAGCTGGTGCCAGGAAGAATTGAGAGGCTTCGCATTTCCAGTATCAGTCACGACACATGTCCATCGGTGTCCACAGTCATCTACAATGTTCACAATTATAACATATCGAGACAGCAGGCTCAGTCGCTTCGGCAAAGGGTCGCTCGTGACGTGGCGCTCGCCAACACGGCGCCCGACAGGACCTCGATCATCTTCTTGGGGGACTTCAATATCAACGCTGCTCTGCCCATGTATCCGCGTGCTCCTGAGATCGACCGTCGTAGGCCTGCCTCGGACGTTGCACCGCATGTGGCTGAAGCTGTGTGGAAACGTATTTTCGCTCTGCTCCTTGAGGTGGGCAATGAGATGCCCACCCACTACGTCGCACAGGAGGGGCAACAGCCGAAGCTGACGCAGATTGACCGTATCTTTATGTCGTCTCAGAGTTGGGAAGCTATTCAGTGGACGATGTCGGTCTCCACTCCAGACTTTCCTGAATTTCTCTTCGAAAAGGGCATCAGCGACCATTCCCCCGTTGTGCTGTCTCTTGCGCCGCGGCCGGCGGCGCATCCAGACCCTCGACGTATTCCTTCTTTTATCCTCCAGGATCCCGACTATGCTCGGTTCATCAAGAATACGGCGTCGGAAGTCGACTGGCAATCTCTCACGGCTGCGTCCAAGCGGAGGGCCACTAAGAATATCATGAAGGAGTCAGCGAGGATGGTGCGCTCTCGTTTGGTTCGCAACCCTCAATCGACGGAAGCGAGACTCATGGTCTTTCGCTCTGTGGTTCGGGCGGTGTTCAGAGATGACGCGCGGCTGGCGAGGCGACTACCGTCCTCGTCGGCTCTTGCTCGTGAGCATGTGCACGTGGAAGGGGGCCTAGTGGAGCTTCGTGACACGATCGCATTTGCTCGCGCGTTCACTCTCGAGCATCAGGCTTTCTCAGAGGAGCGGGAGGCGTCGCTGGCTCAGCGTGAGGCTCGGGCCAAACCCGACGCTACTTCCTTCTCATTCATTCATGCTCAACGTCGTGCGCTGCGCAGGAGGGCATCGCTGTGGGATCCCTTTGCTCGCGCGCTCAAACTTCAAGGCGTCCGTCTCCCTGGGGATGGTGAAGTGGTGGGCTCTCAGAGTGACATGGTCAGTGAGCTGCGCCGCCACTGGGGTCCTGTGTTTCAGCATAGGCCGAGGTGCTCCAACTGGGAGCAGATCTCGGATAAGTATCTCGAGAAGTTCGGCACCCAGTTTGATTTCTCCGAGGTGCCCCCCCCCCGACGGCTGCTCAGCTTTCGGAGGCGGCCCGTCGTGCTCGGCCGTCGGCTCCTGGGCCGAATGGGTTGCCGTATGAGGCGTGGCGCAGGTCGCCGTTGGGCTTGCCGTCGCTGGAGGAAATCGCCCTCGAGCTTGCAGCTGGTCTACCACCGCCGACGGATTGGAATGAGCATCTTATGGTTTTCTTACCGAAAGGGAGGGAGGACTCGGACGACACGGCTGGGGCCTTCAGGTCGGCATCTACTACGAGAGCGTTGGCGCTGAAAAATTATGACAGTAAAATCGTGGCGAGTGCTATCAATATGAAGCTCAAACGGACGGTGGCGGCAACTTCCCCCGAGGCTCAAAGGGGCTTCCTGGTTGGCAGAAACTTTCTTGACAATATCACGTTGTTGGATGCAGTTGCAAGGGCGTGCGGTTTCCAGCCCAGAGACGAGTACCCTGTTATGGTGTTGTACGCCTTTGGGGACGCCTTCCCGTCCCTGGAGAATGACTGGCTTCTCAAGTCGCTCGCGCATGCGGGGGTCGAGGACGGCGTCTTCGCGCTGCTCGCCTCGCTGTACTGGTTGCCGACGGCATGCGTTCAGGTTGCTGGCCTACAGCAGCACTTCTTGTGTATCTCATGTGGATTGGCTCAGGGGTGCCCATCAAGTGGGACGCTCTGGGCCATCGCGATGAACCCTTTCGTGAAGGCGATGCAGGTTCTACATCACTCATGTGTCCGATCGGTGGCCGGCGTGTGTGCCGACGATGTTGGGGCGACGCTGCAAAACCGTGCTCGTCTAAAGGATATGTTTCGTGTATTCCGTGCTGCAGATGTACTCGGGGGCCTCAGACTCAAATTTCACAAGTGCGCCATCATGCCACTGGAGGGTGAATTCTCTACGGTGCTGCAAAAGGAGATGCGCCAATGGCTCTGTGAGCATGTTCCACCATGGGCATCCATGAAGATCGCTGGCTCTGGGGAATACCTGGGTGCGCAGGTGGGCCCCGCGGCGGACGAGCACAGTATATGGCGCGAGGTGGCGGCTAAGTGGTCGCTTCGTGCGCTGCTGCTCGCCAAGTCAGGCGCTCCTGCATCCACGGCCACTGACATTTACAACAAGAGTGTGCTGACAGTCAGGGGGTATTTGCAACAACTGTATCCTACGCCGAAGGTGTTACTGGCACGAGAGTCTTGGGCGCTGCACACGGTGTGGCATCTGCCAGCGCAGTGTCTGTCACGTGCCGACATCTTTTCACTTGCCAGTTGGTCGCACATCCGTCCCATGTCTATGCTGCCTCGTGGTACCGCTACTCTCATGAGGTCGGCGGAGGAGACGGTGACCAACTGGCGTTTCTCATTGAATGGTTACAAGAAGAGGTGTGCTCCCACGGTTCGTTGTTCGACATTGGTCGGGGCTGGCTATCCCCACCGTTTTGGAAGCTGCGGCCCACGGTTCAGTACTTGAACAGGGCCGCCCACGACTTCGACCGCCGCCCGCCGCCTGGGGCGCAGACAGTGGACAGTGTGCTGCACGGGCCTGCGACGCAGGCTCGGCAAAAATGAGGCTCGCGCCGCCGCCGTCGCCAGCCAATCTCGATTCAAGCTTTAGCGTGTTCTTACCTCCTCCCTCCGTGCTGCTCTTTTCCTGATTCGCTCCATCTCACCATCGAGAGGCGGCTCCAGACGTGGCATTTCCCACATCCCAGGGACCCATGGCCCCCGCTTAGAGCCTTGCTGGAGCCCCTTTCTCCCGCGCGGCAGTCGGCGGTTGTAAAGACGATTTGTGGAGGTTGGCTCACCTCCGCGAGGCTGCACGTCCATACAGGGGTGAGCGACTGTCTTTTCGAGTGCGGGTGCGAGCAGCAGCGCGACACCTTCGCTCACTACCTTCGTTGCCTTATTCTTTGGTCGAGGAGTGTCGCTGGTCTAGTGGACGCACCGCAGAGCGTCGCGTCCAGACTCGGGCTGGACGGGGCGCCGACCATCGAGCAAGTGGAGTCGATGGTTCTTGCTTTTCGTTGTTACAATTCCATGCGTGCTCGGCCTCGCGCTGCGGGGGTTGAGATGAGCACGTATCTATTCCAGATTCGACGGGCAGCGATGGCGCTCGTCGATGCATCTCGTGCGCTGTAGGCTCTCTCGAGACCCTTGTGGCGCCCATTTGTACGAGCGACGTGTCCAGTTCGCCCAGGCGGATGTCTAGCATGAGAATGCGTTGAGGACGCGTTGAGCGACGCGCTTGTTTTTACGCGCCCAGGTCGCTCAGGCGGATGTCCAGCATGAGGATTTTGACCGGATGTCTCGAGCGAAACGCTTGTCCCCAGCACGTTCCGTAGCGCGTCCTCTTGGCACGTCCCGCGGTGCGTCCCCATGGCACGTCCCTTGGCACGTCGCTTGGCGCGTCCCTTGAGACGTTCCGCGGCGTGTCCTCCTGGCATGTCCCCCCGTCAATTAGCTCTGGGGCAGCTACTATGTGTTCAGGCAGCTCGAGCTTAAGATCCAGATCAGTCTCGGACGCAAAGGAGGACTCGACCCACAACGCTATAAAGCACAATCGCGGCATGGCACATCGTAATTCAGCACGGCGCAGCAGAGCACATATTTCGGCACGGTACATCAGGATCGATACACTCAGCATTGCAACTTGGCACGTTCCTTGGCACGCTCCGTGGGGCGTCCCTTGGCGAGTCCCCTTGGCACGTCGCGTGGCGCGTCCCCTGGCACATCCCGTGGCACACCCATTGGCACGTTCCGTAGCGCGTCCCCTTGGCACGTCCCGCGGTGCGACCCCATGGCTCGTCCCCTGGCACGTCGCCTGGCGCGTCCCATGGGACGTTCCGCGGCGCGCCCTCCTGGCATGTCCCCTTGTCAAGTAGCTCTGGGGCAACTACTATGTGTTCAGACAGCTCGAGCTTAAGATCCAAATCAGTTCGGTCAGGACTCGGATGCAAAGGAGGACTCGATCCACGACGCTATAGAGCACAATCGCGGCATGGCACATCGCAATTCAGCATGGCGCAGCACAGCACAGCCCTCGGCAGGGCACATCAATATCGATACACTCAGCATCGCATTTGCCCGTCACCCAATCAGGTGTCCTTGAAAACGTTGCCATGCGTTACATTTCTATATTTCTTTCCCAGTTCGTGGGTCGATCATGTTTGACGTGGGCGAGTTCCGAAGCTATGTTCGAGAGCATCTTGGCCAGAACACAAAACACCCTTCCTGGGCATAATGGCGTACCTTTGCAGCATGGATGCTTGCCAGAGCACTTGCCCACAAGCTTGCCTGTGAAAGCGCTTGGAACCAGGAGAAGTGCCGCATGGCCAAAAGGTGGCTAGAGGAACTTTCTCACAGAAAAAGTTGCGTTGCCGCTCTGTGCCGGCCTTGATCATGTGCCGTGCCACGATTCGTTTCGCGAGTGCAAATCAATTGCCGTGTCGTGCCGTGCCATGCCCGTGTGCCGTGCCGTGCAGTTTGATTTCAAACCTGCGAAGCAATTGCCGTACCGCGCCCCCATGCCGTGCCGTGCCGGGCTTGGTTTCGACAATGTGGACATTTGCCGTGAGGTGCCGTGATTGCGTGTCGTTCCGTGGTTGGGTTCGGGATTTCGGTAAAGTGACCGTGCCGTGTTTGGTTCGGAAGCTGCGAACACAGCAGTGCTTGGCTTTCAGAATGCGAAACAGTTGTCGTGCTGTGTCGTCTTAGGTTCTCAGTGTGCGAACCAAGTTGGCGTACCGTTGAGTGCCGACTATGTACTTTATCATGCAGCGTTGGCATTTCGGCCTCTATATGTGTGCACGTATCAGGGAGCAGGCTTTCTGGTGCAAGGGTCTGGCCTGGCGTCCGCTAAGTTGTTGCTTTTCTTGGAAAGGGCATAGGCCCAGGGTTCTCTTTTAGTATTGTTCATGAACCGGGGGGGGGCACCGGCGGATTTCC